ACATCGGACAACGGGGGTCCTCGAGCGGCATGGGCTCGAAGAAGGCGGCCTCGAAACCCGACATGCTCTGCGACTGGGCCGCCTGACCGTGAGCGGACATTTGTTGTTGTTGCTGCGATTGAGATTGCGGCTGATGGCACATGGGCGATGGCGAGCTTTGCGCGCAACTGCTGTAAGCCGAGCCGTAGTGCGGCTGCGGCTGCTGCTGTTGCGGGGTCTGCTGGCCGGCGGCCTGCGGGCTGCCCTGCGGACTCAGGTGAAACGGCGACATGCTCAGGGATATCAGGCCCGAATGTTGCTCCATCTCCAATAACATATCACCCATGCGCGAGAAACACCGCACGACGGACGGACGACGTACTCGCGTACCGGCACATATATGAAACGGGATTATTTAACGCTTCCCCCCGCCGCCTCCCCCTCCCCCCCCCTCCTCTCGGATGTGACCGATGCAACGACACAGGAAACGCTCGTTTTAATCCGTTTCGTCTTTTCTCCTTCCTTGTTTCTCTTCCTTTCTTGGAGCTTGGCCACGAAATTTTGGGCACGTTGCAGATATTGTGTCGCGCGTACGCCGCGATCAGGCTGGATGTCTCCTTCGTTAATAAATTACATCTGTACATCTGTACATCTGCCTATCCTTTTGTCGAGTCCGTTCATCTTCGCGAGACATCGCTCCCGAGTCTGAGTACCGATGGTAATCGCGTGATCTCCGGCTTGAAAGGATCGACAACGCGGCGCGCCGGTGATTTAACGTTTCGCGAAACGCGCGCGCGACCTGGCGCACCCGTTTGACGTCGTCGTCGACAACGGTAACGATGACGTCGACAGCGACAACAAAGAAAATTCCAGCAACACAAGTGGTGTAAGAGGAAACAAGCTTCCTGCGGTAAGAGAAAAACACACACTCGATTTTGGTTTCTCGTACACGGACACGTATAATATCGATCACCACAGTCACCTTTCCCTCTTTCTCTCTCCCTCCCTCCGTATCTTTGTTTTCACGGGTTACACACGTTTATCGAGAGGAACCATCGTGCACCACCAAACGTATACACAGAATCGTCGATCGAGAAGTGGGACTACGTCCGAGGCATGATAGTAATTGTCGAATGTAACAGCGCGCGCGCACGTCAACATTCGCCAACTGTCGAAACGGGCAAGCCGCGCGGCAAACAACACCAAGGTGCCCCCTTTCAAGCCACCGTTTCCTCTCCCGTTCACACTGTAATCCAACTTACTCGTTGAGCACGACGCGGACGACGAGACTCCGGCACGGTGAATAATACGTCACGGGCAACGTACACGGATGAGGACAGATGGACGGACACACACGCGACAGCGATGGCACGAGCCTAAGGTAGAGCGGCACGGCTGCGCGTCTGTCAACAAACTCGGCGGGTTTACGTGCGGCGTAATCGCGATTGTTTATCAGCAGGAAAGGAGGAAGGCGCGAAAGAGAGCGCGAAGGGGAACACGCACTGTGATTCGGATGACTAATGTACCGGCGAACGCGAACGAAGGAACGAACGAATGAACGAAGCGGAGTAAGTAAGCGAGCGAGCGAGCTAAAACCAGGACGCGATCAAACTCTGGGACCGGAGTGGAGTCCGGAATGACTTGACAGCTCGCCTATCTGCGTACGACTAGTTGTCTTCTCGACTCGGTTGCTTTCCCGAAGGGCCTGCCCCCTCCCCTCCTTCGCCCTACCGCCGGCACATGGAGTAGGTAGGTAGAGACCGCCGGGGAGACCGCCTTTGCGAGACACACGGCATACGTGACGTATCGCCGCGAGCGTGCGGTGGTAACAACGCCGTCAACGACGGCAACGATGGCTCACGACGACCTACGTCGTTCCTCTGCGACGCGTCCTCCGAGTATGCCAGATCGACGACGACGACGACGACAACGACAACGACAACGACAACGACGACGACGATGATGACGACGCTATTACTCGCTGTTACCACTGCCGCCGCTACGACTTCTCACGCCGCGATCACTCCCGTCTCACGATAAAACGCCGCGGTTGTTGCGATCGCGCACGATTCTTGCCAGCGGGCGCACTTCCGAAGTCACCGGAGTGATCCTCGTCCACACGTGACAGAGCGATAGCCCGACGACGTTTCCCGCAACGATTCTCGAAACGAGAAGGACGGGCTGGATGACGGGTGGTCGGAAAATTGGGTGGGCGAAACCGTGCCACGGAGAACGGTGCCGAGGCGCGCACTACTGTCAGGCTCCTTTGGCGTTTCGGTGGGTATAGAGGAGAGAAGGCGCGCGTGTCCCTTTACCGACACGGACAGCGAGACGCCGAGAGCCGCGACGCGAAGGAGGAAACGAGAAGGAGTGACAGAGAGGGAGAGTTAACGGCACGAGCGGAGCGAGCGAGACGCGCGCGCGGAGTATAAGCAACACAGCGCACGGCATAAGTGAAAGTGATTCAGCAGCGCATGCCACCGCGCGCGCGGCCAGGTACCCGACGCGGAGTGGAGGTGCCGCCTGAGAGGTCCGCACGGACAGCCGCGGGCGGGGGAGAGAGGAACGAGTAGCACGCGGTCGCGCGGCGGAGAGGAGGAGGCAGACGGGCGGCCGGGCGGTATTGCCGCGCGGTCGAAGGTACCGGGGAAGGGAGCCGAAGGGAGACGACGAGAAGGAGGTTGCGCGACCTGTGGCGGGGGATGACCTACTTACGGAACCAGGTCTATGTCGGCCGGAGAAATATTGTCCGCGAGCGTGCCAGCGTCGCTCGCGCCACGCTGCTCGCTCGTCGCTTTGGTTCGCGTCGCGCTCTGTCGTCGCTCTCGTTGTCGTCGTTCTCTCGTCAAACTTTCCTCACTCGCGATCGACTCGCCGCATTTTGACCTCCTCGCTCGTTTCGATCTCCTCCCCCGAGATCGAAGGTAGACTTTGGCAAGGCAGAGATGAATTTTAAAAAATAACGTATAGTATAAAACCGTCGGGCGTTATATCCGAACGAAAAAAAAAAAAAAAGATCTCGCCAGCAAAACTGAGAAAGCGACCGGTCCTGCGAGTGACGTAAGACGCATTCCGCGAATGTATCGGGTAGGATCTTTTTTCGGTAGAATCTTTTTTCAGCCTCTGCGTGCGCGCGCGCGCGCGCGCACGTCTAGAGACGAGGCGCGCGGGGATCCGCTCGCAAGAGGCTGAACGAGAGGGAACGGGAAGCGCGCGCGAGCAAGCATTCGCGAAGAAAAGTGACGACGACTCTTGCTTTCAAAGTGCACGGATGAAGGCAGCCACGGATATGTCGGCAGCTAAAAGCGCGCGGTCGCAGGGTATGCCTTCGCGCGGGCACAGGACACGTACAGGCCGTGCGGCTGGGTCAACAGCAACGCCGTTGGCACTCCCCGAGAGACAAGCAGTGCCGTATGCCTGTGTGTGCACGAATATGTACAAGCGTACGTGTTTGCGCGCGTACGTATATACGAGCGGTGGCGGTGCGATGCGGAGCGCGGTGGGGAGACCTACTGACCCAGTTCGTTGAGAACATGACGCAGCCGCGCAACTCACTCCCTCTCATTACGTACACCGCGCGTTCCGTCTCCGTCACTCTCCGCCCGCTCTCTCGCTTCCTCTCTCGTCCACCGTTCTCCCCTCGCTGCTCCGCCGCGCCGTTCCCCCCGCCGTCGTCGCCATCATCATCATCTCTCTCTCTCTCTCTCCTTCTCACGGATTTCTATCTTTGTCTCTCTTCTCGCCCCGCGCGTTTCGTCTTCCTTCGCCATATGTGTGTGTGTGTGTGTGTGTGTGTGTGT